CTGCTGGAGCAGCCAGCATGGAAAGTGGATGGGCAGGGCTGGAAGCCTCAGGCAGATGAAACAGCATTCCATGCTGCCAACTCCTTGGCACTGCAACACCTTCTGGAGAAAGACAATTCCAGCGGGCTTTGGTGAGAACCAGAGAGCAAACAGTTACAAGCCAAATATTCCCAGCAAGCAGGTATCCACGACAACCTGAACACCACTACTCTAGCAAATCCCAGCTGAACTTGGATGCCACAACTTCCAGAGGGAGCACAAGCCACAGGGATGCATCCACTTCATGGCAGAACCTGGGGAACACAAGCTCCACTCCAGTGTGATGAGCAGCACGTCCTGAATATGTGAGCTGATATAAGTACTCTTGTGGTTTGGAAGAGTGATCCCCTTTTCCCCCCTCATCCCTTCTCTGTGCATATACAGTCAGAGAACATTTTGGTTATCCCTCTGTTCCACAGCCACACACATCTCTGTTCTTGGCAGAGCTTGGGAGGGGAGTTGGACCAGCTGGACCCCAGAGGTCCCTTCCAAGCTCTACCGGCCTGTGATTCCTGCAAGGTGCAAAATCAACTCACTGAGCACACACAAATCCATGCACATTGCTGATAAAAAGTGGAACTGTGCCTGTGCCATCCCAGCTCTGCCAGGTACCCGTACCCCAAAGAGCACAGACACTGCTCACTGAGGCTGCCAGACCTCCTGGGGCTGAGCCTGAGATCCAATGACAGAAAACAGAAGCAGGGAAACCCTGCAGAGTCACCTGATCCTTTACCAGGAGCTTTTCTTCCCACTTCTCCTCTGGGCATTGGTTTCCCCAACAAGAAACACACAGAATCATAGAAGGACAGATTCATTAAGGTTGGGAAAGCCCTCTAAGATCACTGAGTCCAACCATTCCCCCAGCACTGCCAAGGCCACCAATGACCCATGTCCCCAGGTGCCACAGCTACCTTTTTTCAACACTTCCAGAGATGGGGACTCCACCCCTGCCCTGGGCAGCTGTGCCAAGGCCTGACCACCCTTTCCATGAAGAAATTTCCCCGTGTGCTGTTTCCCCTTATCCTGTCCCTTGCTCCCTGGGAGTAGAGCCCAAACCCCCCAGCTCCCCTCTCCTGTCAGGGAGTTGCAGAGCCAGAAGGTTCACCCTGAGCCTCCAGATTAAACCCTCCTGCAGACACCAGTTCTGCTTGTGCTGCACTTGGAGCTCAAGTGCCACAACACAGGAGGGTGGGAAGGAGCTGCACAGAGTCACATTCCCCCTCCACATGGCCCTGCCACCCCTCCATTTGCCAGAGTCCCTTTATTAACATCTCCACCAGCCTCAAGACAACTCAGAGCTCCAAAACAGGACTCTGTGATGCTGCCCAGCAGTTCTGACTTGCTGCTGTTCATGCATTTAAACCACAGGGCTCACAAAGACAGAGGATAAGAATGGTTTGCCTCGAGTTTCCCTCCAGAAATAAATGGTGCTCCTGGGGAGCAGGGGGGTGGCACAGCAAGTGCCCTCCCAGCAGCTGCCAACAACAAAAGCAGGAGGATTTATTTATTTTTAGCATTTAAAAAGTAATACTAAAAGAGTGTGTTCCTCCTTCCACGGTCATTGTGACCCAGAGGTATTTCAGTCTGCAAAGGCTTTTACAGGAAAATACAAAACCTTTGCAGAATGCCATGGGAAACCCCAGAAAACGAATATTCTCTGGAAGAGGGGGAGGCCAGAGAGCTTCAGCCAAACCAAGCAGTGGGCAGAGACACTTAGATTCAGCTGCACAGATCTTGCAGTACTTTCCCCAAAAAGCCTCTCCTGAATGGAGCAAAATTCAGCAGTTCCTAGTACCCAACAGGACCCTCTTTATGAATCCTGGGGAATGATGACTTGGTGAACAGAAATATTCCCTTAAATCTCATCAGGAAACAGTTCATTGCCCGAATTCCCTCCTAACCCCTCACAGATGTGGAAGGATGCACACTGGAGAGGTGCCACCACCACTTCCAGCAGCAGCAGGAGAAGCCACCCCAATCCCACAGCTCCCAAACCGTCCCACTGCGGCAGCCACAGCACCGGAGCAGTGTCCTGCTGCCAGCACTGACCTGGGCACTCACCTTCCTGCTCTCAGCCCCAGGAAGGGTTTGGCACATTGGGAAGCTTGGCCTTGATGAATCCACTGGCTCAGCTGAGCACTCCCACCCAACAAGAGCCCAGGCCAGTATCTTCAAGCACATGAGCAAGATGGAGCCCAAGGGGACTTGTAACTGAGCCAGAATTTGTCTGGCTTCACACACCTACCAGGGATGTATTTAAAACCAATATCTTTGCCCTAAGCAGAGATTTTTGCAATGAGATCCCTCTAACTAACATGCATGTAACACCTGGTACCTCTAGTCTTTAAGCAGCTGTGTCCTCCTGGCACACTGGGGAAGGCAGGGACAAGCTCCCCTCTAGAAGGTGGGACACAAAGACTGTGCAGCCTGGTCCAGAAGACACCAGGGGCTCAGATGTGGATGTCACAAGTCTACTGCCTTTACCACTAAGGCCCTTTTTCTACTCCCTCCTGTCTCCCTGTCTTCAGCAGCCAGGAAACTCCACACCACCAGCCTCACCCAGGCAATAGGAGACAGCACAGCCTCCTCCCAGCTTCTAAAATCCTGAAAGCCAAATAGCACTGATTTCTCCCCCTATTCCCACCCCACCACGAGGGAAGCCTCCCCTAATTCCCCCATCACATACAGACCAAAGTCACCCGTTAAGTACTTGTGTCCCTGTTTTCCTGCCAAGGAAGGCTTGTGTTCATCCCTGAGACAGCCCAGAGCAGCTTGGCTTTGTGCTGCTCCACAGCAGCCAAAGCATTATCAGCTCCAAAGGCGGCCACAGGCAGGGACAGAAAAGCAGCAGGAAAAGCAGAGTCTATCCCAGAACTCCTGCCCAGCCTCAGATTGACTCCCCAGTAGTCCACTTCCTTCCTACACTCCACGACTCCGGGGACGAGGACACGCAGAGGCGGGCGACCTACCCTGCCTTGTTCTATTGACTTACTTAATTCTTTAAAGGAATATATTTATCTGTTCCTCCCTGGAAACCAACCATCCGCCGCTCCTCCGCCCCACTGTCCCCCCGTCCCTCCCTGGGAACGGCGCTGCTTTGATGCCTGGCTGATCCCAGCAGGTCTTTTGAACCCACTTCCATAATCACTGCCTGGAGCGAGTTCTTCCCACGCAACTCGCTGCTCACTGAATCATGGCCAGCGATTTTCCTGTCTCCAGGAACCACGCAGCACTGCACTGGGATGGGTTCTATTCTCCCTTCAGCAGGGGAAACACATAATTATCAGAAAAGCCACTCCTGTCCTAACAGGACACCGGCGTTATCTGTGCCCAGACCGGCAGTTCCTGTTCTTGCCCCAACATCCCCTCCACCAACCAAGGCTGGCTGTTCAGGAAATTTATTTCCACATGTCAAGATTTCATTTAGTTTCTCAACCTCCTCCAAGCTACAGACTTTGAGCCATGAACTGGCACACACGAGGCTGCAGAGACATCACCTTTTTAGTGCCCAGGGCCAGCTCTGCATTGGAAGTTCCTAAATTCCAGTGCTGGCTGTGCATGGGCATACTGGGGTGCTCATCTGTGAGCCAAGACACCTTACCCGACTCCTCAAGGCAAGAGAGGGAAAACCACCAGTCCAGAAGGGATAATTCTGCAGGAAGGACCAGCTCTGTTGACAGGATCCCTCTAAACTAGAGGGGACAAGCCCCGACAGCACAGATCACCAACCAGAACCATGGGCCAGACACACAGGTTGGCACACACAGCAACAGATTTTAGGAACTGCACAAAATACCCTTTTTAAAGGTTTCTTGGGCTTTGCCAGGAACTCAAGGCCGTGTTTGAGAGCAAAGACAACAGCTAATTGGTTCCACACTGCCCCAGCTCAACAAGAAGACCCAAGACAGGGCTAGAAAGGAGCAAACGTGACGTTGCTGCCTCAGAGGCTCTTGGAGTTGTGCATCAGACCCTGTGCAGCACATTCCAGGCCTCACAGCTGCAGGAAGGCCAGCAAACAAGGACCCCACCACAGATACTGCATGATCATCACAGCAAACGTCTACAGTGGAAAGCCAGGACGCTCGGAAGCAAGCAGTTATTCCTAAATGACCAGCAGCTCCAAACAGACAGACTCAAGCAGGTACAAACACCCCACCAGGCTGGAATCTACACCAAGCAGGCATTAGGCAAAGGCTCAAAGGTTATTAGCACAAAACACGGCAGCCTCTGTAGCCAAGCCTGCGGGCAGAGGGGTTTTAGATGTTTTGACACACCTGTCAGAGACTGAATGCAGGACACATGCCCCAGCATGAAGAGAAACTCCTCACTCTGAGTGGCTGGTGGGGAAGGGGCAGAGGCAATGGCTCGGAGACACATTTGAGGTGCAGATTTCATCAAGGAGGAATTGGAATTGAGGGTTGGAAACGCTGAGCTCTTTTTCAAAGTAATTCTGGTCTGGTGTGTTTCATTCCCCTGGATCTGGTATTCAAAAGCATTTCACTGCTTTTGCACAAAAACAGCTTCTCCAGCTCTTCTGAGATCAGAAACTCTTGAGGCTTATCACCTCCCAACCTGGAGTCACAACCCTGTGATACTACAGTGTGGTTGGGAGCTCAGAAAGAAGAGGAGCCACGAGAACTTGGCAAACAAGGAACTGAGATCCCATTCCCTGGCAGCCACCTTCACAACTTAAGTGAGTGAGGAAGAGCTGGGCTGAGTCCTGCAGTCCATTCTGCAGGAGCCTTCAGCCACCCCGTGTAAAGGACAGGGCTCGGCATCACTCAAATCGGTGGAAATTTGGCTGTAGCTTCCTGAGGAACTGAACTGAGCCTCTGAGTGAAGGGACACGACAACAAATAGGATGCAAAGCAACTTGTCTGCCAAAGGCAGCGGCCGGACTCAGGCTGAGAGGTGAGCAGTGAGCGGGTGAGCAGCGAGCAGGTCCTTCCCCTCCTCCTTACCTTCGCACCTGGTGCTGGAGGTGCTGCTGCTGCCGCGTTATAAGGGCGCTTTCCCACACGGGGCCGCCGGGGCTGCTCCTATACCAGCCCACGGCCGGGTGCCCTGGGTAGGGCGCGCTACCGAAGCCATGGTCCGACTCCGTCTCCGCGGCCAGCGATGAGGCAGAGCTCCCCATGGTGCCCCCTGCCCAGCCCACGCTGAGACCGAGCCTAGGTTAGGTCCAGGCCAGTGGCATGAGCAGCTCGGGTGGGATGGGCGAGGCGCTGCGGCATGGGCTGCTGTAAAGATCCCAACACACCGGAGGAAGGGAGGTCGGTTCTGATCCGAGGGGGGAAAAAGAAAAACAACAAACAAACAAAGAGAAAGGGGGGAAAAAAAGGAAAGAAAAAGAGAGAAAGATAAGGTACGATTTCAGCAACAACCCTCCAGTTTTAAAGCCTATTAATGCATGCTCTGAGCAGGATCCCCATGCCAGTGCTCACTGGGATGGGAAGGGCTGTTTCATTGAATCCAGCTTTTGCTGCTGGAGATGAGGAGCACAGGGGCTCTAGAAGAACCTCCCCCAAGTTAAGCACCAGGAGTTTCCAGGCACAGGGAAGGAGCTCGACTAGGGGAGGGAAGCACAGCAGAGCCCAACACAAAGCCTTTCACACCAGGGGAAAGAAGCAGAAAATGGGACAAGCCAGTCCCACCTGGAGCCCAAACCAGCAACCCTTGGGGACCACAAACCCCAGGTCAGTCTGAAAGCTCTGGGTTCCAACTGGCACATCAGGTGTTGAGCTACCTTCAGCTACAAGGACTGGATGGTTTGTGTGCTTGTATGTAAAATAAAACATTCCTCTTTTCCTGTTCCCCACTAACACCACAGCAGGGCTCAATCTGGACAGACTGGGAATCTGAAAAAGTATTTCTATGGCTATTTACTTTCAGCTCAAGCCAATTTTTAGCTGACACCGAGCATGCCCCTACCCACAAAAGCAGGTCTGGGGCTTTGACAGCTCCTCCTTTTCTCCCTCTCTCTTTGCTACTTCTTGGAATTTATTCTTGGAGCATCATCACAGTTAAACTACAGAAACGTTTCGTGTGCTCTGGTATTCGAAGAAGTTTAAACACACACACGTGTCTCCTTAAAGGGAAAAGGCACAGCAATCTGGATGTGTATCAGGAGCAAAGGATCAAGGTAACATTTAACAGAGCAAAAAAGAAGAAATGAGGAAGACAAAAAAATTAGCACAGCTGAGCTCATTCAATTACCCACCAGGATTTAGGGAGATGAATGAACTGTAGAAAGACCTTTGCGAAGAAACCGCTTTGTGCCGTAAAAAGGCTGAAATGAAGAGTCCTAAAATACAGTTTTTCAATTCCAGGATTGATCTAAGGGATCAAGAAAGGCCTTGATAGATAGCAGACTCTGAAAAGCAGCAACTCAAGGAGCAGGTGCGATTTTGCTACAAGCTTAATACCAGAACGTGCCTGCATTAGGTCATTAGCTGGAGAATGTTAACTGCTCTGTCACAGTCTCTCCTCTGTATTCTACAAAGCCTGAACTAACCAAACAAATGTGAAAAAAAAGAAGCCCAAGAACACGATTTTCCCTATCACCTCCTTTTTTTCAATTGATCTGCTTCACTGCTGTGCATCAGCCCCACGTCCCCATGCTTTGGTTCCTACCACCCAACAGCAAGGTTTCACTAATTTAGCAGATCCAGCCCAAGTGGATCCCTGGCACTTCCCCTCTCGTTTCCTGCTATTCAAGCAGTTAATTTGTAACAAATCTGATTTTCTGGCTAAATGAAAGCCACACGATGCGAAGGGAAGAGCATTTCCAAGCATCATCAACTCAAGTCTAACTGGAGGCATCAGTCATCCCACACCTGCGGTGTCTCTGGCTCTTCCGCCCCATCCCGCGGGCTGCACGTGCTCCGGCAGCAAAGGCACAGGGGATGCAACTCTGGGACCTGCCAGAAGAACAAACTCCGTCTTTTACCTCAAGACTCGAGTTCTATCACGATAAAGTAAATAAATAAAGGCAAGATGGGTAGAAACAGCCCTGCCCAGCTCAGCAGGCTGAGCGAAACAGGAGGATGCCCAGGCAGCCAACAGCCTTTTCCCACCCTGAGTAGGGTTAAAATGCCAAATAAAGCAATTCCACAGGCTGGTTCAAGACCACTTCCTCAGCTGACTCTCAAGCTGGAAAAGCAGAACTCTGCTTCCTCCTCCCCAGTTTTAGCTCACCACAAGAGGCCAGAGACATGTCTGCTGCCCACATCACACTGGCTCCAGTGTCCTGCTCTGTCCTCCTCCGCCAGGGAGTCGGAGCAGGCAGCTCAACTCCACAGGGAGAGGAGAGGCTGGGAGTCCTGCTTTAAAACCTGTGGTAAAACCCTATGGTGGGTGGAGCTGGGAGAGGAAGGGAGCTATAAATAGATGGAGGATAACCTGGCTAAGTCAGAGTGATCTCCGAGACTGTCTGGTCTAACTGGGCTGCTTGGCCGCGAGCGCCGTGTGAAATCGGATTTCTCCAGGCAAAGCAGTAAATCCTTCTCTTCAGGGTCACCCTCATGCCAGGTGAGAGCAGCCAATGAACAACATCTAAGGGTTGACCCAAGGTGGGGAGAGGGTGAACCAGTTTGAGAACAGGAATGGCAGCAGCATTACAGCTCAATGCAAAGCACACACGTCGCTCCCCAAGCTGAGACCCAAAACGCCTTTGGCCAACACCAGGCAAATGAGGAGCCTCCAAGAAGGAGAGGTGAGAATGGAAACTGCACTCCAGCAAGGGAAGGGGACAATTAAAGAAGAAGGAAGCCTCTCTGAAAGCACTCAGCCTTGTTTTTGAGGAACTTCTCCCACTGGGCAGGGAGATGCCCCAGGATGACCTGCAGGCATGTGACCCGTGCTCAACAGGGGAGGCTTCAGCCACAGAGAGGGAACAAACTGCCAACAGTTCCTCTGCCTTGGCAGGAGGGAGCAGGATTTTTCTTGTAATTAATAAAGCACTACTTCCACCTATCTAATCTGGAGAGGAAGCAACAATGTGAGCAGATTGAAGTGTCTTGAGAGGGGTGGATCTCACTCATGGAAATTAACAGTTAAGCACCTTAGTAAGATGCTGAGTTTGGATTTTGGTTTTCTGCCCCTTGCAGCTGCAATAATTACCAGGTTTCAACAGATGCTGTTTAGCTGCTCCCAAAATACTGCTTCCAAAATAAAACCTCTCCCGAGCCACTCACACCAGCTTACCCTGATCGTGATGCAGACCCTTCCTTAAATTCCCCACCAGCACCGTGAGCAGCACGCACATACAGCAAGTTCAGGACAGCAAAGCTTTCCCATGAAGGTTCTTCCTGCTGCTGGGATAGCAGAGCAGTCACCTGGACGCTTCCAGATAACTCTATTCCTCCACAGCAGCAAGCAGTGCTGACCCTTCGGGCCCCAGCTCTCCTGTCACAGTGGAGCAGGCAGGAAGGGTGGGGATCTGGGTCTGCCCAACCCCCTTTCCTTCCCTCCAGCTTCAAAGTAGGCTTTGGCTCTGAAAAGAGCAAAAAAAGGAAGCAAAGGGAACTAGCCCATGTGTTTCAACGCATCTAGGAAGTTGCAGGATCAGCTTTTCCTAGGATCAGCCTTGAGTTCTTCCCTTTGGCACACAGCAGGAAGGAGACAGGTCCCTGGAGCTGCTGCAGCCACTAAGGAAACCAGTGAGGAAGACTCACCCCAGCTGGTCCCATATGCAGAAACTCCTCCCTGTGATGGGATACCCCACACACTTCTTTTCCTGGTAATTTATGAACCACGTGGCACATGGCAGCTCAAGTACTGCCTGAGTTTTCCAGCCTCACTTGGTTCTCAACCTCCTAGACTCAGGGACAAGACTTTGTCACTTCATTAATTTTTCCACTCCCTCAACCTATAAATAAAGTCAACTCTGAGCTACTCCCTTGCTGCAGGGAAGATCCAGGAATGAAAACACAGCCATCCTCAACTCCAGACAGCTCTGAGGTGGTGGGCAAGCAGCTGGCCCAGGAGAAGCACACCATGTACCTGGGGCAAAGACGTCCCTCAAAGCTGTGCCAAGAGGAAGAACACTTTCTTCTAGAATTGAAGCTGCAAGAACCAGCCCTTCTCTCTCTGCTGTGTAAGCTCCCCTGCCTGGGGGCTGACTAAGATCATAGATCCATAGAATGGCCTGAGTTGGGAGATACTCACAGAGCCCAACTCCTGGCCCTGCACAGGACACCCCAACAATCCCACTCTGGCCCTCAGAGCTTTGTCCAAAAGTTCCTTGAGCTCTGTCAGCATTGGGGCCATGATCACTGCCCTGGGGAGCCAGATGTGCTGGGACCTGGTACCACCCTCAGCAGCAAAGGAGGAGCTCTGTGCCCTCATTCACATGCAACCTGCTGCTGGCAGGGAGAAACCAGGGCTCCTGGAGAGCTCTAAATGTCCAGTGCCCACACACAGCCCTGGCAGGAGCAGCCTCCTCTGCAGGGACTGCGGGATGCAACACACCCTGAAACACAAATTAGCTCAGGGGCCAGTGGGTGCAGCTGGAGGAGCTGGGGCTGACTGGGGCATGGAGCTGGAGGAGGCCACTTCAGACATCATGAAGGCATGGCCAGCCCTTGGCCAGTCCTGCCTCCATGCACAGCAGATCTCCCTGCTTCCCACGGAAGGAGGCACATGCTCACAGGGTCCGGGGGAAGCAGAGAACGGTGTGCAGGGCTGGAAAGCTGCACAGCACCAGGCAGGGCAGTGTCAGAAGGGTATAAAGTCACAGAGCACGGCAGGCATGGGATAACTAAGGATGCAGAGAGCAGTGTCTGATGACGTGCCATGCCAGCCAAGCAAAGGAAAGAAGCTCAAGCATTTGTGTGCCCAGCAAGTGACAGATCCAGCTCCCAGCCCCAGGTAGGGCGGCAGGACGTGCAAAACCAGGTCCCAGCACCACGCAGAGCATGGCTGGCACTCACCAGGCTGAGATGACTCTGCTAAAAGAAGTAACCCCAAGAGAGGAAGGGCAAACAACCCCTCTCCTTCCACAGGGCAGTGGGGGAAGAGCAGACAAGCAACAAGACACCCACCTCAGAGAGACGCAGCACAGGCTGAAATCCAAGATGCAAACACTGACCCACGAGAGCTCTATGGCTCAAGTGCAGCAAGAGCAAGTGAACTGAACACTCTGTGCTGAGCAGGTGTTGTGCACACAGCTGGGGACAAGAAATAAAGTTTTGCTGCTCATTCTCCCTGCCCTCACCTGCCAAGGCAGCCCAAGTGCTGCAGTCTTGGCAGGAAATTAAGGTGTCAGCAAGTTCTAATTCCTTGGAAAGGTTCTGGCAGGGAGGGGCAGGAAGGTACCTCCAAGGACAGACTGAGGCATAGGCATAACAGGAAGGATGGACCAGTGGTTGGCACATTCAGCTGGGAGGTGGAAGGCTTTTGCAGCCCTCGTGCTCTACCCTGTGTGACCTGGGCCATGGTCCTGTGACTCAGGAAGCTCTGTCAGACCTGCCAGGGCCAAGAAGTCTTCAGGTGCACAAGGCACAAGGATGACAGGCAGTGTGTCAGCAGCACAAATGGGAGGACATGGAAAAGGGAGAGAAGGGTGATAGCCACCCACCCAAATGTTTGTCATGGTGCAGAGGGCTGGAAAAGGAGAGGAGATCAGAGATTCTGGCCTTTGAGGAAATTGAGGGAACTGGAAGCTGCAAGTGAGGTGTTTTCCAGATCTCTGTGAGAAAAAAGACTGGTACACTACTTACAGAGGTATCATTAGCTGAAGTGAGCTGTCTGGAAGCACATTTCCAGATGGGCTATTAATGAGGTAACAAGATAATTTAACCTGGAGCCCCAGACCAGCACAGAACAGGACCTCACGTTTCATGCGATGCTTTAGCAAAGGCCAGAACAGCAGCACATGTCTCTGGCCATGGAATTAACATGCAAGGGCAAGCTCGAGGGTCTTTACCTTCTTTCAGCTGCCTTGAAACTGGTTCTGGCCCAACTTTAACACAGAAGAAACTCATATACAGCAGCTGAGTTGGGCTGAGCTGCATTTAAAGCCCAGCACTGACTCTTCATAAGTATGCAGGCAGAGGAAGAGGTGTCCAAAGCCTGAAGTGAAAGATTGATAGGAAAAGTACATTTATTGCAGAGCCAGCCTAGCCACAGAGCAGTGAGCAGCAAACTCTGAGCAAAGTTTCCTCTTCTCCCTTGCAGTGGACACTGTAAACCAGTGACAGATAATCCAGGGAGCTACTGAAAATCTACCACGGTCACTTTGAGAGAGGGGATTATACAGATTTGAAAGGGCAATCAACATCTTAATCACAAGCTGGAGGGAGGAAAAGAGGGAGAAGCAGGACAGTTTTTTCAAAATAAGGGTTAACTTCAAACCCCATCTCCATTGACAACTGAAGAGCAGTTTCTGAACAAGCATGAAAATGGCAACAATGGTACTGCTGAAGAAGGGTCTGAATGTTTAAAAAAAGCCCACACAAGCCAATCCCTACAACCCCCGTGCTCTATTAAGTCAATTAACATTGCTCCAGTGAAGTGCAGCGAGCCACGTGTATCCTGCAGTTTCCCAGCCAATTGTGGGTGACTTTGGAGCTCAGTATTAACTCAGCCTGCATGGGCTGGCACGGGCCCTCTCATTAGCAGCAGAGAGGTGATACCACAGAGAGACACACATGGGCAAGAAACAAAACAACACAAGCCCCAGGATCCAATCTTGGGAAGCTTTAAGCAGCAGATCTCATTTCCAGATCTCTTCCTCCCTGTATTTATAATCCTTGTAGCAGAGTTCTGTCATCCTACTCAGCTCACAGGCTGCCCCAGCTCCAAGAGATGTCAGGCTGAAAAATCACCCCGACAGATTGCCTGCTGAGACCAGTTGCATTATAAAAACAGGAAGCTCTTACTCTCCTGCTCCCAATATGCTATGGATTGAATGGGAAGGAGCAGACGCAGGGATGCTTTGCAGGAAGCTCACACACATGGGCCTCTTGCCAGGAAAAACGCGTCTCGAGTAACACATGTGCTCTTAGTTTCCTCCTTTCTCAGAAAGGTTTAACTACACTCTGGGTTACCCAGCAGCAATAAACCATTTTTCCCCCCCTTCTCACTTACAGCAGAGTGTTGCTTGGTAAACAGCAGATCTTCCTGTCTGAGGCTGTGCCAGCCTGTGCAGAACAGAATTGTTGTTATTGCACATTCATAGCTAGAGATAAACATGAATAAGAGCCACGAGTAAGAGCCAGGCACTGGCTCTTCAATGCACTGCTTTATCAGGTTCACCTTGATTCAACTGTTTCTGACAACATCTCTCCCTCCTGAAGGGGCAAGATGGCACAAGTAGCAAGGACAAACACTAAAAAACAAGACAGAAGTGACAGCAGCACAAAAAGTGCTCTTCTGTACTTGCTAACACTCACAAACTGTGCAGCTCACAGCTCCACCTGCACTTGAAACACTCAAAAGCACAACACGGAAACAAATGAGCCCAGCCAACCCAACCTTCCCAAATGGAAAAACAAAGCAGCCTTCAACATTTTCTCAGGACAAATCTCCATCAAGAGCCACAACTGCTGCAGGACATAAAGGTTACAGAGAGCCAGGGAAGGAACAAAAAGTGCAAGTCATCTCTCATCTGCAAGCTGACACTCTGCAATGGCACAGGTACAATCAACCAGCCCGGGAAAGCTGGACACTGGGAGTCAGAGGAGGGTTTCTGACCTTTCAAAGAGCAGATCTATCGACCAGCTGCTCCAGAAGCACTGGGGAAAGAAGCACAGAGTTAGTCCCGATGACTGTTCCTGGACAAGTTCATGACCTGCTCAAGAAGACTGTCTTCAGCAGCAGGGAACTGGGCTTGATGACCCATGGAGTTCCTTCCTCCCAGTCACTCAGCAACCTGAATTCATGGTGGGCCATAGGTGCCCAAACACAGCACAAACACGAGGTCATTCCCAAAAGGACAGCAGGGATTGTATCTCCAGATCATGCTAAGCTGACAGATAAGCAGATGAAGAGCTGGCCACTGCAGAAGGGAGGGGAAGAGAGTTGCAGCAAAAAAACAAAGTCTCATATCCAGTGAAAATCCAGGGCACAGACTTGGAAAGCAAAGTCTCAGAGACAGGAGGTGGAGGAGATGTCCCCTGAGCACACTGTCCCCAGACACCCCAACCACAGCTTTAATTCTAACACAGGTTAGACAGACAGTAAATATGTAATTTGCCCAAGCCTCATCCAGCTGCATCCCTTGCCAGACACAGCTCCCAGTCCTTACTGCCCTGCCCTGCCCAGAGCCAACAGGCAGCAGCACCTGGATGTCTCTTTCTGCCATTTTTATGCAAGTTGGCCTTCCCTGGCCTTAATCTGGCACCACGTTCCAATTTCCAACCAACTGGCCTAGATTTAAACCACTGCATCTCTGGCTGTGCCTCAGGCAAGTGCAGAGGTAGGATAAGCCTGAGAGACAACAGTGGCATTTGGCATTTCCATCACAAACAATGGGAAGAGAAAAGCATAGGAATCACTGAGAACTGCAGATGAGGCTCCTGCCTTCCCCAAGAGCACAGGGAACCAGGAGAAACCAGGGAGGTGGGACAGACTTGGGGGCTGGAGAGGAAAATACTTCCTCTTCTAGAATCATAGAATCACACAATGGTTTGGGTGGGAAGGGACCTTAAAGCCCATCCAGTCCCACCCCCTGCCATGGGCAGGGACACCTTCCACCAGCCCAGGTTGCTCCAAGCCCCGTCCAGCCTGGCCTTGGACACTTCCAGGGACAGGGCAGCCACAGCTTCTCTGGGCAACAGGGAAGCACAGCTCAGAGTGATAATTTAATGGAGAAGCACCACATTACTGCTTCCTTCCCTCCAGCTCCACATTGCACCTCCACTCTGTGCTGGGCCATCCTGAAAACCATGTGGATCCTTCTGCACACTGATGTGGCAGCCATGCCATGGCTTCTGTTAGGAGATTATACTGTAATTGAAATTATAGGTGTGGAATAACACCTGGGACAATGAAGTGCTACAGATAAAACAGAGCCTGACACCACCACAATCCTCCCCTCTCCTCACGAGAGTAGCTTTACTGGCTCACTGTCTCCATCACAAGTGGCTCCTCTTCAGCTACACCAGTAGAGCTGGAAGTGCAGGATGTGTTCAATTACACAACACCTTAAACGATATTTTCCCAGGAGAACAGTCATTAGAACAAATACAATGGTCACACTGAGGAATGAGGATACAACGAGGAAAAGGCTGAGAGGGCTGAAACATAATGCAGACAGTTTGAGGAACTTTGTTAGAGCAAAGCCAGCCCCAGCAGGCCATCAGAGGTAGCTCCAGCACAGGGAGGGAGTTCTTCACCAAGGGCAGTGGCTGCATCCTGAACCACAATGCCCAAACAGCCAGATGGAGAGGAGGTCACATTACTGGAGTCACTCTCAAATGCCTTGCAAGACAAATCCAGCTGCCTGAGCCTGTGGTGCTACAGACCCCCAACCTTCCCTCCACCAGCCTCTGCTTCCTAAAACATGCAAGGTCAGGCAACAGGAACAATGGCAGTAGCATTTGTAAGACATTTCAAGGCTGAATCAAAACTGACCCAAGAGCAGGAATGTCACTTCATCTCTCCCACCACTGAGAACTAGCCATGGTACAGATCTGACCAACACCTCCCTGGGGACAGTCACTACTCAAAGATAAGAGTGTTCACAGTCTGACTTCCCTGACCCCCAGCTGTAAGAGATTCCTGCAGACCTTCTGCTGTGGCTGGACACCAAAGCCACATGGAGACTCCAGCTAGTCCATAGGCACCCAGGCAGACCAGATGGGCCAACACACAGCACACTGGTGTCCATTTGATCAATCCAAAACCCCAACATGGATCATTAGAACTCAAGGACAACACTATCACACACTGCAAGAGTACCCACCACGAAGGTCCAAGCTCAGACTGGTTTCCCACCACCTCATCCTGCCTCCACAGCCCAGGCTCTCAATCCCCAGGCTGAAAGCAGCCCAGCCATTTAAGGCACAACATAGCCACCTCTTTGTCCCAGTCCTGGCCTGGGAACTGCCACAGTGGTTACTGCAGGCAAAGCAATGTAGAGTTTTTAAGACCAGCTTATTCCCCTGCCCTGGCACTGCCTCAAACACACCTTGGGACAGTCGTGCAGTTTCCATTGCTTAAGATTGTGAGGTCCTGGAAGACCCACAATCTCTCTTCCACTATTACAGTTTCCTCTTCACCATAAGAAAACCAGGGGACACCAGTATTCCTACCCACATGAATATGTGGCCTTCACACAGACAGCATGGAGAGGGAAACACTCAAAGGAGGAACCAAAACAAGGAAGAACAACAAGAACGAGATGCGTGGGAGACACAAAGCGGGGTAACTGTGCTTACACACCAGAGCAGAGAAGGTCTTCCTTTCAGCCCCTCCCAGCCCAGCCCAGAGCTGAGTCAGAAAAGCCTCTCACCCCACACGGTTCCTGCTCGGTGGGTCCGGTGCCAGGGGTGTGGGGTCAGCCTGGAGTCCCTGGAGCCGGGTGGGCACTGCTGGCACCCGCAGAGCAGCCTGGCAGGGGGACCATGCTAGGAGGTGTCTGCAGGAGCACTGGGAGCACACCAAGCCTGGCAGGAGCAGCTGGAGGACAGAGAGGAGAGAAAGGCATGTAAGAATAAATGGCTGCTGAGACTCTGGGCTGATCAGCATCACCCCAGCAAACACAACCAACCTCACATCACTCCATCAGCATCCACTTGAACTCCAGCTGGCAGAAGGCTCTGTGCCTCCCAGGCAGAGCCTGGGAGCTTGGTCCTGTCTGGAGACACGACGGGACCCACTGCTTTTGGGTCAGCTCAGATTCTTCACTTGTGGTTTCAGAGCCTTTGGCTGTGACTTTATAGTTCTGTGCCCAGCATTGGCCTCACTCTCTCTGACAGTGGCTGCTGCTCAGCATTGTGCTGTGAGCTGGCATCAGAGCAGGAACAGCACCCCGGGAGCACGGCAGGATGGAGCAGGGCAGGAGGGAGCACGGCAGGATCACATGGACAAGGACTCTGGACAGCTCTCGACAATTAGCAACAGGGCAGGAGCTCCCGAGGGGCCGGATGTGAGCACAGCGGTGTCTGGCGGGGCACGCTGCCTGAATGTTCAAATACAGAAACAGATGTTAATTACTCTGCATAGCCAGGACATCATTAGCAGTTACATCTACTGGAAATTCTACAGTACTAATTCCTCTGATTATGCCAAACGTGCCCATCCCACCCCCAGAAGCCATGACGTTCAAGTAGTTGCCTCGGCAAACCTCCCTCCTCCGAGATATTTCCCCTTCCTCCTTCATATTCTCTGCTCTCAAAACAACCTGTTTTAGTGAAATCCATGCTTTAGGAAAGAGCTGTCTCCTTTGGGACGGGCTTTTAGCAGATGGAGGCAAAAAGAACCCTTGTCCATAAGTGTCTGGCTCACCAGCACATTCACACTTCCTCTGTTTGAGGTTGGGGAGGGAGCACAAAAATAAGGATTCAGCCAGAACAATGTGATCACTGAGTCTCTTTGGGAGCATGGCAGAAGCACCAAGAGCAACAGATACTGTTCTGCTCCCTCACCTTGCCCACTGTCCCCACATCCACACCATCAGTGCAGCACGATGCCCCTGGGGTAGGTCACAGTGAACTCACAAAGAGCGTTTCTCTTCCAGCACTCTCCACCACTGAGAATTCCAGGCAGTGGGGAAAAGACGTCTTGTGGTGAACACCTGGACATGGGCTGGTAATGGAACCAGACCAGGACAGGGAGGATGATACAGAGTGGGCAAGAGATGCCACTCAGGGACCAGTAAAAAGTAAATAAGGGACTGATTCAGGTTCAAAAGGACCTTTTAGCCCAAGGGTCTGTGCAGCACTGGCTACAAAGAGAATTCCAGCCCACAGCATCTCCAAGGCACTCAGTGGAAAGGCTGAAGGCTTAAAGCTAATGAGGGAGTGAGACCAACACCAGAGGACAGAGCACCCCACAAGTGCCACATCACTGTGTGTGACACCACGTCATTTTCCTTGTAGGACACATGTTCACATAAGTATGGAGTAGGAAGGGAAAGCTCTGAGCACCCAGCAGCTTAACACAAAGCCTCTGGGCTGTGCTGGAATCCCAAGGACTGCCCCAGCTCTGCCTGCTGCCTGAGTCTGCAGGCAGGAGACTGAGAGAGGCAAGCTGGAGAGCAACATCAGTGCTGCAGGCTCTGTGGAGAGCAGAGCTGCCACAGGGGAGGACACAGCCTGGTACACAAGGACCCTCATGCCGTGCTCCCATTTCCAAGGACCAGCACAAACACAGGGGAGTTCCCTTGCTACCCCAACAAAGCTGTCCAGAGTTACCTTCTCTGCAAACCTTTTTGTTACAGGAGCAGGAGAACACAACCCAAGCTGGGAAGCTGCCCACGATATCCCCCAGTAAACCAAAATCACCTGGGCCGGGACTGGGAACAAGATGCTGAAGAGGAAACATTGGTGCCATAGGAAGCACCACATCAGAAATGCAGCTGGGTGGCATCACGGAGAGGATAACAGCTTTTGTAAGGTCTCAGTCTCTATTTTACCAAAGTGGGTGTGCATTGATAACCCTTCAGCTTTGGCAAGGGCTGCCAATGCCAGGGCTGGGGCAGGACACCAGCGTCGTGCCCTGACATGGTGCCATTGTCACCTCCCCTGACGCTGAGCCTGCTCGGGCCCACAGCGTCTCCTCAGCACCCTCCTTGCTATAAAAGGGGCTGCACTGCAGGAACAGAGAAGCTCTTTCTTTTTTTATGAACACACATTAGAGTTTACACCGTTGGCAGAGCACGGAGGCACGACTTTGTGGGGGAACAGAGATATGGTTCCAACACTAGCTTTAATGTGCAAGCCTAAAGACTCGGCTTCAGTTTTTAGAAATCAAACTTGATCATCTCAAGCTGGCAAAAATAGCCCCATGTTCCCTCGAGTTATTTTCTTTTCAAATAGGCAGGGTACAGCACAATAGGAAATATCAGCAGTTATGTATTCAACCTCCAGAAACCCAACGGGCCAATTCCAGCAACCCACGGCAGCTTTCCAACCCTCCCTGATCTATTTGCTGGAGTTAGAGTGAAAAGCAGGCTGCCCCCGAGCCATTCAGCAAACTCCACGTCCTGCTAATTACATCAATATAAATGTATTATCTTGGCTGTCAAACATGGGCTGCCTGAACAGGACAACGCTCTGCCATGGAAATGCAGGAAAACAATTGCTCTTTCTGCTGGTGACACATTTCTCTGGATCTTATTTCCTCGCCAGGGCTCCCCCTTCCCCCTTCTGCCCAGGCACCAGGGCAGCAGTATTTTCTTTTCCAGAGCAAGAGGAAATGGCACACAAAAATCATCCTCATCTTTTAAGTGACTGAAGACGAGCAGATTTTGGGAACAACACTGGCACTTCCCATCAGCCGTCCTGACACGGGGAAGCGAGCTGTGAGGGCAAGAGTTAAATGTTTCTCCTGAGCAAGCAGCAGCCCTTCTGCCTCTCTTGGCTTCCTCAGCTGCCATAGCTAAATGTGTCAACACTCCAAATAGCAAATGTGACAGAAATTCAGAGTAGCCTGTTCCTCCCTGCCCGGCTCTGGGACAGTGGCCTGGAGAGGGCTGTGCACTCAGGAAGGGTCCAACAGCTACCACCAAGGTTGAGGCAAACGCAGGCAGATCCAGGAGGCTCCCAGGGAGCAGGCAGGCAGCTCACCTCACTCCCAAGAGTGGGATTATGACAGAAAATGACTCACCTGTCCCTCCCGCGTAAGCAGCTTTCCCAAGGAAGGCTGCACTGTGCCTGACCTTGCTTAGAGCCCCACGTTCCAAATGGGCTGCTCACAAGATTCCTCCCAATTCTGGGCACTTGGAGAGAGCCACTGCAGCAGGACACTGGGCTGGCACACACCTTACAAATCCGTCTCCTCTCCCCCTGCCCACGGCTCTGACCACAGGCAGCCACTGCCCCTCACTCCAGCCTCCCCCTGCTTCATGAAGACCCTCACCTGGAGAAATGCCACAGGGTCTGGTCCTTCCCAGATCCCTACACTCACAGGCAGGGTCAGAACGAAGCCAGAAACAAACAAGCCTGGATTCAGATGAGGCAGGAAGAGGAAAAAAGCATTTCTCCCACTTGCATCTCACCTGGGAGCAGATGATGTTCCCACCAGAGGAGATCAGCACAACCATGGCTGCACACGGGGAGGGGAGAGGTTGGGTCTCTCTCTAGATCTCATGTGCAACCACTGCAAATTTGGAAAGCTCCCACAAACCTCTGGGACAGAGGAGATCACGTTTTCCATGAGATAAAGCCAAAAGCACTCAGCTGGCTGAGGGAACACCAACAGCACTCAGCTTTGGCCACTTCCCTCTGCAAAGCCAGCAGTATTCCGAGCAAAGATAAGGATGTCCCGTGGACAGCCCAGGAGAGCAGAGGGCAATCAGCCTCATGAGGGCATCCAGGCTCCTCCACGGGGTCACCCAGCCCTTCCGCTCCTCTGAGGCAGCTCCGAGTCTGAGCGTGACACCCAACCTTTTTAATGTGCAACTTTAGCAGTTTTGGTTTGTTTTTCAGGATATATTCCAATTCAGGAGACACTGTGCCTTGGGTTCCCTCATGCACCAAGTCACCAGGCTCCAGGAGGCTGCTCTCCCTCCTGCCAAAGCAACAGGGCTTAGTAAAGTCACATCCAACCTTCAAAGGCCTCTGCAGCCCTCCAGCCCCTCCCGAGGAAGGGAGCACTGTTGGGTCTTGCCTTCTGCCTTCAACTGTTAAAGCCTTGGACACAAACAGAAGCTGATGCAACTCAAAACGTACATAAAATCGGGCTAATTTAAATCCTGCCTCTGACATGTTCCTCAGGCAGAGCTCAGTCCTGCTCTGGCTCAGTCAGGGGCACAAGCCAGACTGTTCGGCAGTGGGTCCCAAAAAATGGCCACACAAAAGCCACCAGGAGGCTCACAGTGTCACAGGAGGCTGCGATATCACTGTGGGTCTGCTCCAGTTAAGGGAGGAGCACAGCCCTGAAGCACAAGTCCCTGCGAGTCCCAGGTGACAACGTGCAAAGTGTGGCAAGATCTCTGCGTTCAGAGCCACAGGGGCCACAGTCTGGGATGTGCACCCCCTCCTCTGCATCTCAGCGCCTTCCAAACGCATTCCTGGTCTCCATCAGCTCCTGACCCACCCACAGCAGTGCAGTACATCCCACACCAGTGCCCCAGGCCACGGGCAGCGAGCACTTCCCAGATAACCTTCTGTCCGACCCTGAGAACCCACCCAGCCGTATCCCGGGCCTAGGGAGCACCGAGCACTGAGATTCCCATCTGAAGAAACACTTGGAGGAAACAGGATGACATTTCAAACACAACACTCACATTGTTTTATCCCCCCTCACCAGATGACCACCTCAGCTGTTTCCTGATGCCTGGGGGAGATGTACCCCAGATGGAGGAGCAAGGAGGGAAGAGAGAAGCTCGGCAAATGGAGAGGTGGGCCAGCACAGAGCCTTTTCCATTCTCTGTGAGACTTCTACACCCAGGACCTGGAGGCTGACATGCTTCTCCTGCAGCTGAGCTTATGTGCATCAAAATCCAGGAGTCTTGATGAGGCACCAGGACCCCAACAGCCTCAGGATGTTCAAGACCCAAGTATAAGAGCAGCCAACTGATTCTAAAGGGCAAACTCGCAAAAGAAACTGCACAAAACCCTGCTCAGCCCCCAGCAGGGGGGTCAGACCGGGAGGTGAGAATGCAGACCTGAAGGACAGGCAGCCCTGGGTGCTGGGGGCTCTGCTGTGGTCCTGCCCGGAGTGGGAACTCAGCAGTGCCCTAAACCAGCTCCACTGCCCAGCAGTGCCCTAAACCAGCTCCCCTGCCCAGCAAAGCCCCAGGCCGGGCTCCCCTGCCCGAGGGTAGAACCGGGAGCTCAGCTCTCCCTGCCCCGAGCGCAGGGCGAGGGCAAGTCGGGCATCGCAGCCTAAACGCGAGGAATCACGAAGCCTCCCCCGTCCCCCCGCGGCCGCTGCGGGACTCTCGAACCCTGAGATGCCCTCCGGGTGTGCGGCCGCGCTGGGGCGCGAGGGGGGCCCCGCAGCCCCCAGGTCACCCCAAACCCCCGCGGAAGGGGGTTCCTTCACCCCGATCCCGCCCGCCCCCCGCGGGCCGCCCCG